CAAGAGAACGGTTAAGATATTTATATATGACCCAAGAGGTGCTGCCTCTGATGAGATTTAAATTTAATTATTTTTGTAATTGGATAAAATGTGGAGAGCCACAGCCTTGAAATCAAAACCTAGGTTCAGGGTTTCGAAAAACACAGATGAAGCACAGATGATATCTTGAATGTATATCTATTCCATGGGCTTTTAAAATACACAGCTATAATTGATAACATCAGCTTTATGCATGCATGTATAAAAATATATATTTGTAATTAGGTACTCACCTGCCAATTCACACGCTTGATTATTTATCGTCAGCTGTCAGTAGGCGGAAGATGAACTTTTATATAAACACAACACTAAAAGAACAGAAAAGCAGAGATTTTGTTTAATAGCTTATTTTTTGTTCAAATACATACAATCAAACATTAATACATACGGATATATGTAGTCATAGTTATTTTTACAATACGTACCAGTTTTTTCTTAATGACCTCCTTTAAAATTGATGCTGCCTCCTTCGGCAACTATATAGGCACCGTCACCTCCTCCAATGTTAAGGCCGCCGCCTCCTTCATAGTTGAGGCCGCCTTCTCCTCCTTTGCTCAAGCCGCCGTTTTCCCAATACTTGAATTCGCCATCTCCTCAATAGTTGAATCCGCCATTTCCTTAATAGTTGAGGCCGCCTCCTCCAATATTAAAGCAGCCAGCTCCCGTATAGTTGAAGCTGCCGCCTCCTCCAAAGTCGAAGCCGCTTCCTCTACTTGAAGTGAAGCCTATGAGAATCGCGTAGTAGGGCATTAGTTGAGAAGACTTTTTTTTAATTTGCATATATATGCACATATTTAAGTGCATATATAATATTTACATGCATATACACATGCATATGTACACACATGCAAGCATATATAAATTCTTAAATACACACATACGTTGATACAAACATTCTTTAATACATACAAACATACATGCATGCTTACACATTATGTACGTACATATATGTATACGCACACACATACATACATACATATGTACGTACACTCATGCATACACACTTATATGCATACATACAAACATGCATACAAACAAACATTTATGCATACATTAATATATTCAAACATACACAGTTACATACACACATACATACTTACATGCATATATGCATACTTACGCGCATTTATACAAACATTTACACGCATACATACAAACATATGTATGTATATATATATATGCATTCATACATACATACACAGAAACACATATATACGTACGTACATACATACATAAATACATACATACATACGTACATATATACAAACATACATACATATATATGTATAGACGTACTTACATACATACGTACATATATACATACTTACATATATAGACGTACATACATACATGCATGCATACATGCATACATGCATACATTCATACATGCATACATACATATATACATATATACATATAAACATACATACATTCATGCATACAAACATACATGCATTTATACATACATACATACATGCACATATGCAGACATGCATACATGCATATATGTAGACATGCATGCATGCATACATGTAGACATACATACATGCGTGCATAGAAGCATACACACAACATATATGCATATGGCTATACTTTGTAATATTAAACTTTAAGTTAAGAACTGTTTTACCTTGAACTTGTGGTAACTTTCCAACTCATATTAGCGAATTAGTATGAAGTGCCCCAAGAAGAGCTATGTGGCGTGTTCCATTATAATTACACACATATTGGGCTGACTGTGCTTGAGGCGTTCGCTGGCTGCGTTCGTTTCAATTTTTGGGCCAAATTTAATTACTTGACATTTGACACTTTGCTGGATAAAACAGTTAGCGCTGGCCATTAGCAGTTGGCTGGCGGCTTAAGGGGGCTGGTTTGAAGGGGAAGGTGTTGTGGCATTCTTTGGCCCAGAGCATTAGCTGAAGCTCAGCGCGTCGCAAGGGGCGAATTATGTTGTCGGGAGCTGTTGTTAAGGCCTTTCTGCCTGCTGCGGGCAATATTTGAATGTCACATCTCTCTCTCTCTCTCTCACTCTCTCTATCTCTCTCTCACTCACGCTGTTGCTATCTCTATCTCTATGACTGTCTGCGGCTTAACACCTCGTTGCCTTTTATTGCAGTCACCATTATGGGAACACCGACAAATTTCACGCAAGCGGATGACGCACACATCGCAACCACCTACAAGCGGTAAGTGGTCTCAGCCCCAGCGGCACAAAAGCCGTAGACTAATGCTGATGTGCGTGTGCGTGTGTGTGTGTACTTTTTAATAGGCTACTCGAAATCTCGGCTATTAAAATTGTGAAGCCCTGGCTGCAAATCGATTTACTGCATCGCCTATTGGCGCCTCAATTGTACGCCGAGGCCGAGGCATGCAACCAGCTGCTGGTTGATTTTGTGGCACAAATCGTGCAGCGCAAGCATCGCAATTGGCAGCTACGCAATGCCATCGACGATGAGGAGGATGTGCCCTGGCAACGACGCATCTTCATCGAGCAAATGTTCCAGCTGGCGGCCAATGGCGAACTAACGCTTCAGGATATCGAGGATGAGGCACAGTCCATGGTTTTGGTGGTGAGTACCAGACACTACAGATCGTTAAATCTCGTTAAATCTCGATCTCAGAGATTATGCAAGCGAGGGTTTCCAAAGTTTAAATGTAGACAATCAATAAGTTTAACTAGCCTCGTTTTATATATACATATATATGTATATTTAGCAAATTATAAAACCTGAATCGGAATATCGATTTTATTAATTTTTATCGATTTTCATCGATTTTGCAAAGTTATCGATGAACACTGAATTGGATACGCTTCTTTTCGGCATAGCATACACAGCTGAAGAAAGATTTAGCTTAAGCTTAGCTGCCTGGAAAAGGGTAGAAGTGCTTTAGTGGGGAGTGCCCGACTAGGAGATGCCCTGAACCTAGCTTATAGCTTCCTTCCATAATACAATTCTGGTTGAAATAGGGTGGACGGTACTCATCAAGTCAAATATTAATAATCTCTGTTTTATAAGACGAGCACCTACATATCTATTAATGATCTTGATCAATAATTATCGATATGATAAGGCTATTTGCCTTTAAAGGTAATCGGAATGATTTTGATAACATGCACAAATTTAAATGTCATCTTTAATGCATATTTATATACATCAGCTGTCTATCTATCAAAAGATAGAGTATATATAGATCTCTCTTAACTCTCAATTCTATATAATCTCGATTTTACTTGCCCAGTCCTTTGAGACGGTCTCGAACAGCATAATGATTGCCCTGCTGTGCCTGGCCACCCACAAGGGCGACTGTCAGCGGCGACTGCGTGCGGAAATTGCGAGCGTGCTGCCGCACGGCAACGATGCCAGCTATGTGGGCGTCGAGCAGCTGCAGCAGCTGCGCTATTTGGATGCGTTCGTGAACGAGGCGCTGCGCCTGCTGGCGACGGTGCCGATGAATTTGCGGCATGTGAGCCGCGACTTTCAGCTGGCTGGACGCGAGGCAATTGTGCCCCAGAATACGATAGTTGTGATGGACACGTTCAACATGCAACGCGACGCGGCCTGGTGGGGCGACAGGGCCAAGCAATTCGATCCGCAGCGTTTCCTGCTGCAGCAGCAGCAGCAGCAGCAGCTCGATCACGACCAGGAGCCGGAACAGGAGAAGCATCAGGAGGAACAGCAGCAGTCAGGCACGGAGCGGGCAAAGCAGCGTCGACACTCGTACAGTTTTTTGCCCTTCTCCAAGGGGCTGCGCACCTGCATAGGTGAGCTTTTGGCCGGGATTAAATGCTTAAATAATTAAGTGCTTAACGGTTAAACAATATGTTTACAGGTCGTCGCTACAGCTTCTTCATTATGAAGGTCTTTCTGGTCAAGCTGATAGCCAACTTTGAGTTTGGCAGCGATCATCAACTGGAGCAGCTGCAGTTCGTCGAGGGCATCTCTCTAAAGTTTCGCAACGCCGACGAGATACTCTTCCAAATACAGCCACATAAGAGTTCATAATATTAACGCGCCTACCATACCCTGGCGGAGTCTATCATATTTAGCATAGCTGAGCACGTGTTACGTATATCCACACGCTATATTTAATGTCCGTCTGTCTTACGAACTAGTTCCAAGGTTAAGATATGCTCATGAAGTCTGTTAAAGTACTTTATTTAGTGCCTGCAATTTTAAACTAACTTTTTATGTCCAATCACTGAAAATCGAATTTTATTTGTAGGAAAAACTATTTTGTTTGAGAATCCATTCTAACTAAGATCTTTCTACATCCTTTGCTGGAATTTTAGCAGTGTTCTTATGGCAATATTTAATGTTCCCCATTGCTTAAAAACTAATTCGTTTGACCAAATTTAATTATAGTTTTTTTACTATAATATATGTGAGCCAAGTAGTTGTCATAAATTAATTATAGTTAGTATCCTGGCTATAAATACGAACCAGTTGTTAGTGGTTCGGTTCGCGAATGGAACTAATCGCTTGCTCTTCGATTCGAAAAGCTTGGAATTGGTTTGTCGTTCGTAGCATTTGGTTCCGATTAAGATTCGGGCAACTGTTCAGGTTCAGGGTTTGGTTCCGGGCTCGAGCTGGTTCATATTATTTTCTATAGCCATACAAAATTTGACCTTTTGGGCTGCGTAAGGTAAACAAATTGTATTTTTGGTTCCAACAACCTTTTTTTATTTTCTGATTGACAGATAGTTGAAAGTAGAAGGGGAATACTTTATCGTTGACATGCCATATGATTTGTTTGGTATAATAAATATATAAGTCTCCGCCAGGGTAATAAAATTTCGGCATGCCGAAGTTGATTGTTCTCCGGTGTTTTTTTTTTCCTCCTTTTTTTTTTTGCTGTAATTTTCGTTAAACCTAAATAGACTAGTACATAATATTTAAACGATATGCTAGATGGGCTGCTAAGCTAAACTTGTAGAATTTGGGATGAGAGGTTGGGCGAATTCATTCCCTGGCAACGAGCTGCAGGTCCAGTTTGTGGAGCTTCTTGAGCCAGCGCTGCTCGACACGCTCCTCGAGCCGCTTCTCCAGATTGGCGGAGGACTGCTGCAGCTGGTGGGCATTCAGCTCGGCCTGGTGGGCCCGCTTCTCGCTCTCGTGCAGGCGCTGCTTCAGCTTGGCCACCTGCCGGTCATAGCTTTGCACCTGCTGAGCAGAGCGCTCAAAGGCGCGCTCCACGCAGTGCAGATTTTGGGCGGCGGCATCCAGCTCCGCCTGGAGCACGGCATGGCTGGTGCGGCTGGCCTCCAGCTGCTGCTCGCTGTGCGTGAGACGTTCGCAGAGCTGATCGGCCCGCTGGCCGCTATACTGGGCGGTGCGATCGGCTTCCTTGGCCTGGCGCTTCAGCTTGGCCAGCTCCCAGACAAGCAGCTCGATCTTCTCGGACTGCAGCTGGTCGCGATGCTCCAGTGCCTTGCGCAGGCGATCGCTGTCATTGAGTGCGCCGCGTGCCTCGCGCACCGTCGCCTGATGATGGGCCACGTGCGTCAGGGCCAGCTGTAGCTCATCCTCCAGTTCGACATTGCGACGCTGCAGGTCCATGTAGCTCTCCTCCAATTGGCTGCGACGCTGCAGCTCCCGTTGCAGCATTGTCTGGCAGTGGGTATACTCCTCCCGGTAGCGTTCCAGATCATTCTTGGCCACTTGTATCTTGTGCTTCAGTGCATCCAATATGAGGCCCTGTCTGCTCAACATCTTTCCAAGCTTTCAGTTATTCGATTTGTCTTCCTTATTTTGTAGCAGCTCAATAATGCAATTGCTTTGGCCTGAATTGTCCTGCTGCTGTTTTGCTTTCTTAATGAACACATTTTGTACAGCTCAGCAGGGCTGCTTTCTCTGTGAATTGCTTGGCCTACTGCAGCATCTACTTGTGCTAGGGAAATTTACGTGTCCATACTAAGAAAAAAGTCCCATCAAAAAATTTCCCTGCTATTTGAATTTTGTGCTTTTAACCAGAGCTTTGCTGTGAGCACAGCGCAGGCTTCAACCATTTGCGAGTGGGCCACCAGATGGCGCCACAGCGGCAGCTTACGTTTGTCAAAGCTAACTGAAAGCTTTTCCCGACCGCTTGGAATTCAGCTTTAAGTGCAGATACATTTAAAATTAATTTAAGAATATATAAACTATCATGTTTCTAATCAACATCAATTCGGGAAACAAAGCAAAATATATTTGCAGAGATCTAGAAGTTGGGTAGTCTTCTAGACAGAGTCTTGTTAAGGGCTGGCAGTCATAAGGAAGCTCAATCAATTCAGCACAACTTAATGTGATGTTTCGTATAAAAAGATATTTTTATATAATATTTTCAAAATTTTGATTCGTTTGATTGTGATATGAAATCGAAACCGAGGCCGCAATAAACTTGAGTATTAAACTTAACTGAATAATATTTTTTCTTTATTCTTTGCCTTTTCTATTTCCCTTTGCTTAATCTTTTCCCTTTCCATTTCCATTGACTCTACCTCCTTTTCATCCGGTTCTGGATCCGCTCTAAAGCCCTTCCTTAGTATACTAGATGGTCCGCCGATTGGATTTTCCTTTTGTGCCTTGGCAAATATTTCGCCCAGCTCCATGCAATCCTTGACGGTGACAATCGACCACTTGTGCGGTCTCATATGATAGAGGCGAACGAGTCCGCCCGTATAGGCATCCAGATAGGTGGCATGGTAAACGCCGCGTAATGCCAGATTGTAGGCCTCCTCATCGGACATATCCCATCTGTAGAAGCTGTCCAAGATGCCCAATGCACAATGTGCACCGCTGCCAATCGCAAACAAATTGCCCTCGACGCGCTGACCATCGGAGTCCACGTAGATGAGCTGGGGCCCATCAAAATCGTAGCCGGCGAGCATCATGCCAATGCAGAGGCCCAATCCCTTGAATTTGTACGCAATGTTGCACATGATGCGCGCCGCGGACTTAACTGTCATCGCACGTCCATAGGTTAGCTCGAACAGGCGGCATTCCATTGTGAGCACCCGATCCCAGTAGACGCAATCGGCGGCGCCGCCGGCAATGGTGCCCAATATGCCCTTGTCCACCTCAATGATTTTCTTCATTTCCTGCGAGGCAATAAATTCGCCATTTGTGCCGCGCGAATCGGCGCAGAGAAGGATGCCGCCCTGGTACTTGAAGCCCAATGTGGTCGTTCCGTGCGACATCTCCAGGTTCAAGTTGCTCTTCTTTAGCGATCTCTTAATCCTCTTCTTCGGATCCTCAAAGGGCGGCGCGATTACAGAATACGCACTATCGAACACGGTCTTGCCCGTGTTGACTTCCACTTGTGCATAGGCGACATTCAGATCATTATAGGGCTGCATAAAGTCCGCCTTATCTATGCCGCAAATCCGCTCCAACGCCATCTCAACCTGAACCTATTCTTTGACAACTAATATATCTAATATGTAAATTGTTTAATCAAATTTCCACTAAAACTCATCAAAATATCTATTGTTGTCTATTTGAACTTTCGATGTGTGCGTGCTGAATAAAACTGTATAAAAAACTTAAAAAATATCTGGAAGCCGTCCAGTCGGGTTGAGTTTAAGGCCTACTACAGGATAAATTTCGAACAAATTTTAACCAATAGGTTAGATAAACATAGAGATGGGTCCCAAGTTTAGATATTGGGGTCTCCTTCAAAAGCTTTTCGCTTAAACCAAATCATTTTTAAATAAAAATGTGGTTCAATTTTAAATTTTTTGAATTTAGAGTCGAACCTTATAAGGAGAATTAGCCATGTCAAAAATGATATTCGATATCAAAATTAACTTCGCTATAATTGATTTATCACTGGAAGAGCATTCGGAAATTTAAAGAAACTTTAGGAATCAATGGGGTGAATCGAGAAAGTATTAAGCCTGAGTTATCAAAATGTGTATTTGTTCTACAAGAAGCTTTTATATTTGTAATCAAAAACCATGTCTTAAACCGATATTTATCGATATTATGGAAATGGGAAGACCTATCGAAAACAAATGATAAATATGTTCTGCATATGATCTACGGAAATAAAGTAAACAAATAAACATTTGAATGCTAACAGTTTCAAATAACAATTATACAAAATATGCGTAAATTATTTTCCTTTTGAAAAGCGAATAATAAACAGCTTAGCTCCCAACAAAGTGACAGCAGTTCAAAGAGTGGCCCGCCCTGTGTGCTCATTTGTGCGTATCGCAATTTATTTTGAGGAAATTTAAGAACTTCTATTATATGCTGCTTTTCGAATTTGTTATTGCGTAGAATAATTGGCGAAATGATTAGAGCTGCCATAGCGACGGCTTAGCGATGAGCGGGAAATTACGCTTCACTTTCTTCTCGAGCTGCTCTTTAAGGTCGAGCGAAAAATGTTGAGCAATTACGAGGCGCGCGCCTGGAACACCCGACGTATGATAATATGCCACAACTGTCAACAATATTTCCGGTGCAAAGTGTCTCTACGGTGATTCCCCGCCGCCAACAACGCGCATCTATGCTATATGTGTGGCCTTGACAGCGTACTGATTGTGTGTGCGCGCGTGTGTGTGTGTGTGTGTGTGTGTGTGTGTGTGTTTGTACAGGTGTGTGCATAGTACTCTCAGCTCGGGCACATATCATTGTCAGTGCACGCCCGTGACTCAACTTCAGTTCGCTTGAGTTGTCTAAAGACTCGGGTCCAACTGTCGGCATCGTCTTAGCAACTAAACGACAGCAACAGCAGCAGCAGCAACAGCATCATTATAAGCTGGGCGTACACTGAGAAAAATATAAGGCTTAACAATTTTTTTTCTTGAGGAAACTCTTCTAAATCAAAATATTAATTATTTTTCAAAAAATAATACAATATTGTAAGATCGATTTTATGGATAGGATATTCATGCTTTCGCGATTCGATATAATGGCATTTTCTCAAAGTTTGCCAAGCTCAATGTCTATAAATTGATTACTTTGGACTTGGACACCTTAGAAGCCTCCACTCAACTGGTTTGGATGGATTGTGGATGCAATCACGAATCAAATATATATTCTAGTACGATGCTCAACAATATTTTTGAGCTAGCGAGTTCCTTAGCAGAACCTTAAGGCGCTCTTTTAAATAAAACATCTCTAATAGTTAACATTACTGTGAATCTTTCTTATTTCATTTCTATATATAGAAATAACACACCCTATAGACAGATAGTTAAAATATGACTATAACATATATTCAATTGAGCAGGGAGTTTCGCTGAAAATGAATACACTTCTGTTCAAAGCTGCAAGCCGCTTTTGAACCGAACCCTTTCGAGTGCGAAAATCTGATTTGTTTTGTTTGTATGAAAAGAGATTTAAGGTGAGAAACCTAAAGATAGTTTATGGATGCAAAAAAACAGACTCACGAACCGAACCGGAACTCAAAGCGGCGAACTGGTTTAAGCCGTGAACCCCTAAAAAATTTCACATTTTTTCCTTCAATAAATGCTGAAATTATTTGTAATAAAAAAAAAAGAAGAAAACTTTAACCTGAACCGAACACAATTTCTTTAAAAAATGGTTCGGCTAGCATATTAATTAGCATCAAAAATATTTGCCGTAACAATTTTTTTTGCATTCAGTTTAGTTTGTAGAAAATGTGAACGAACCAAGTTGCGTAAAACCTTGTAGAAAAATCAGGTTCGCGAACCGTGAATAAAATTGCCGACAATATAAAAGTTGGGTTTGCTTTTTATGCGGAAATCTGATTTGTTGTGTTTGTAAATATTTGGTTGTTGTTAAAATTCAATTTTTTTTTGTTTTTTGTTAAAATTCATTTATTTACAGCTAATCTTCTGTTACTCTTGCTTAGCAACTTTTATCAGCGTGAGTGTTTGTAAATATAAAAACAAATTTTAGCTGACACGTATGTATGTAGATTGGCAAATGTGTTTGGTCTGTGGCACTACGAAAATAATTGTTTCTTCCGAATGTGGCCCGATTCGACCCAAAATTTATGCAAGTGCAAATTTCTTGTTTGTGTCCATGTGTGTGTGTGTGTGTGTGTGTCTGTCTGTCTGTTGAGTTTTTGTCGAGCAAATGGCGCCGTCAACGCAGTCATTAGATGGTTGGGTAGCTGGCTGCCAGCCACGCCCACTGCTAGTAGGCGGTATGTGTCTGCAACGGTGTTGACGCTGATGTTGCTGTTGCTGCTGTTGTTGTTGCTGCTGTTGTTGTTGTTGTTGTTGGCATTAACTTGACACTTTCCCCATTGCCGTGTGGCATGCCTCGAGTAGCGCACACACTGCTGGCAGAGCAGCTACAGTGTGCCACCATGTGTGTGTGTGTGTGTTTGTGTGTGCAAAAATTTATAACTGTAAAAGGCACTCGAAACACATTCGCATGGAAATTTGCCTGCATTTTTGCTTTGATTAATGTGCCGGGCCGAGCCGGGAGAATCGCTCGTGATAAAATATGTGAAGCGTCCTGTCTGCCCGTCTGCCTGTCCGCCTGTCTGCCAGTCTGCCAGTCTTGAGAGGCATCGAGACTCCTTTAAGGCGCCACTTAATTATTTACCGAAGGCAACAAAATTTCAATTGTTTTGTGGCGTGCTGCCACTGCAGCTGAAATTGCCACAAAACCGGTTACAACTGTTTCCATTTGCATTTCCGTTTCCGCCTTCTTGTCAGATTTCAATTGCATTAACGTCGAGCATCAGCAACATTTGTTGACCGAACTATAGGAAAAAGCGTTCTGCATTCTAAGTTGATTTCAATTCTTTTGTCAGTAAGTGTCAGTGTTGGTAAATACACCCTCCTTGAAAGATGAATCAAAAAGGTGTCGGTAAATACAACCTTAATCCATATATATTTTAGATTATGTAAAGAATAAGCATGAGAGCAAGAGATACTAAATGTTAATAAAAGTGTTGGTTAATTCGCCAATTAGTGTTGGTAAGTGAACTGATCAATACGGACAGCTAAAGTGATTATGGAAATGCCAAATGCTGTATAGTGTTACAGTGTTGGCAGTGTTGGTAAATGTGCTCACCGAGCTAATCGAGAGAATGCTGTAAGACACTTGCGATCAATTTATGTTATCTGAATCAGTTTGTAGGCTGAGATCCACTTTTGAACTTTGACAGCTTCGTTTGGGTAGTGTTTGGAAATACTTAAAAATATAAATACTGAGAGTCAGAATTGTATTCAAGCTTAATTCAATTACAACAAATTGCAACCGATGCGTCTGGGAAGGAAGGCGGAATGTGTATTCATCTATAAGACACTCTCGTAGAAACTTGATGTCGAAGTAATAGTAAACGTTGTAATAAGGTTTAAACATCCTGAAAGCACAAATGAGCTCGCAAAAAAGAGGCTGGCGGCTTGAAATCCAAAAGATAGCAGTTTTTTCTGTTAACTTCCAGTTGCCAAGCACTTTAGCATTTCTGCCTGTTTAAATTTGAAAGCTGGCAGCGTTGCCACCTTACAACTAAGTTCGAGCAGCGCTGCCAACCCGTCGATATAGTGCTGCCAACTGATCACCAAGGGAATGGTGAGAATGAAACAAGAGAAGTTCAAGATTAACCAGCGTGCGTTTAAATTTCCACTTAAGAAAACATGTCCGAAATTAAGCACTCTAATTACAATTATTACTCAGTTTAATCAACTATTTAAGCAGTTGATGCAATCAACATTGTTGCTGTTTTTTTTTTTTTTTTTTTGGGGAAAGCTTAGAGCTGGCGCATGGACAATTTAGCTGGCAGCGCTCTCCACTCGGCACGCGCCATGCACTTGGTGAAGTGACCCAAGTAGTGGGCCATGGCCACCAGAGTTAGCCCCCAAAAATGCAAATCGTGCTGAATTGCATTTTTCGTAGCAACAGCGAGCAAAATTCAAACTGCACATTTTTATAGGCACGGAGCTTGAATAGTTGCACTGGCGCCACTCTGCACAGCATCCTGCTAACCTAAACCCCCAACTGCCCCGGCTGCCACGGCTGCCACGGCTGCTCGGGCTGCTCCGGCTGCTGCTGCTGTGGCTGCTGAACGAGGCGTTGATAAATGTGGCAGACGCCAACGCCAGTTGCAGCAGGACTAGACCAGGGCCAGTGTCACAGCCACTGCTGCTGCTGCTGCTGCTGCTGCTGCTGCTGCTGTTAAGTGTTGCAAATCCACTGAGCGGCATAAAATGTTGCGTCATCCGGCGTGCAAATGCTGGAGCTGCAGCTAATAGAGGACAACCTCCATGGTTTCAGTGAATGACCATTTTTGGCCATGCCCCCAAACCAATTTTCCTATTTTTTGTCGCGCTTCTTTTTTAATTTTTTTTTATTTTGGTTGTGTTTCTTGCCCGAACGCCTTCGTTTCTGCCATGGTAAACGCTGTGGCAACGTTGTTGACAATTTGTCGACGTGTCAAAAGAGTCAACGTGAATGTCACAAGTGACGGCGACGGCGACGGTCACGGCGATGCCGACGCCGACGCGGATGCTGAAGAGACGAGGCTGGACTGAGTTGCTGGTTTCCTGCTCCATTGGACACTTGGACAGCGGCTGGATTGCGTCATTTTTGTTGTAGCTG